TCTCCACCTCAAAAAAACAGAAAAAAAAAGGATTTTTTAATATGGTTGTCCACCACGTGTCTTAAACCAAAAGCTCCAATGAACTATGCAGTCTCTAACTATATTTAATGTCACTACATGTCTTGACATCGTAATTCAGAAAAGTAAGCAATATTCTTCACAGGTATTGAAGCAAAGACGTAAGACCTGGAACCTAGTCTGAGTCTTAAAGTATGTGAAGAAGTACACAGTATTTATCACTAATTCTCCACAATAAAGGCAATTCCCTGTATAATTACCTTTTTTCTTCAGCAAAACATGAAATGAGTTGTTTTCTTTCACAAATGCATACAAATTTGGGAAAAGACAAAAACCCCACACCTAGCTAGTAAAGATGATGAGAGGGGCTTGTACAGTAACAGCCAGGACTTGACCTTGCAGCTGCTCGTCACACAGCAATGATAAAACAGAGACTACGAACCCCCATTTCTGATGCAGCTTTTATTTCAGAGGGACAACACACAACACCTACAAAAGTTAATGTACTGGTTTTCTCACAGAAAAAATAGGGAGACCTCTTAAGCAAACAACATCCGGAAAACACGCTGTGACTGTTCAGCTGTCTGACCTCTGTTTTTGGCTGCCCCAGAACCTACATCCAGTGGCAAAGCAAGTAGCGAGATCAGACTTCAGGTAACATATTTGCAATAATTCACCTTGAATGAGGTACATAATGGTGCAATCACCCCCTCCCCTCCTGAAGGAGTACAAAAATGATAAAAGTATACCAGTAAATTTGATCACAAAGAAATGAAAAATATTTAACATCAATAGATGTGCCCTGGAAAATTTTCACAAACAGTCATTTGCCAAGAATATAAAAGTGTATTTCTGGCTCTCACCATCTTGGCTGCAATATATTTATGGTCAGAAGCCAGTTCATTCATTCATTAAAATATTACACCTGTAATGGTTGAAAGGTTTTACTACGCTGTAACATAACATTTGAAAACTGAATTTGAAAAAGCCTTAGTAAAATTTTTACAAACCCTAAAGACAGAATCTGTTAACCCATAAAATTTGTTCAACTAGGAAAACCTAAAAAAAACCTAAAGGTTTGTTTTGGATGGCTCAAGATGAAGGTTTCACTTGAAAAGGCATCCAGTGAAAGACAGCTGCACAGAGCAGATAGATACCTAAATACGTAAGAAAAAAGCTCAGCACTACTTCAGCGCAGGTAGGCAGGTGCTGGGGTACCTATTCTCTGCACACAATTACACGTGGGTATAATTCCTCTCTCCCAGAAGGAAACATAAAAGTAAAATGCTGGCACCAGTCTGCTGGCACAAGGCTAGAGAAAGGTTTACAGTTCAATAGACTGCGGACACTCTCATTTCCACTATCTCCACTAACACACCACAGATTTCCTCAACCCATCCCCCAGCAGCTTCTCAGTACAGTTACCAGAACCTGCCTCAGCTTTGCCACCTAAGCTCTCCAGTCCATTTCAACTGAAATAAAGCCACTGTTTAAACCACGTAAGTTAAGCAAAGTAATTTTGGCAGAAACAGAAGGGTTCCCATGTTCAGCTGGCAGGTCGGGGTGCGGCAGTAAATGCCCACAGAAGATGAGTGACAAGCTGCTGGGGGGGTGACCAACGGAGAAGAGTGGTAGCCATCACAGCCATGGCAGTCATGGGCATGGAGATGCTGTGCACCCTGTACTTCCTACACATGCTGCAGCCCTGTTCCTCCTCGGGATGCCCATGCAAACCGCCACTTCCAGCGACAGCACAAAAAGCCGGTGCCTTTGCCTGCACCACATGCAAACCGCCACTTCCAGCGACAGCACGAAAAAGCCGGTGCCTTTGCCTGCACCGCTGTCCCTCAGGCCCAGCATTTTACTTGGAAGATGACTGTCTGCAGTTGGGATCCATACCAGTTAAAGGTCAGCCATTTCATTAGACACTGCTGTCTGGCTCTTAGGTATTTCTCTCCTGTGCATGTGCGAGGGGGGGACGTGTGGGGAGAGCAAGGAAGAGTACTGTGTAAAAGCTGCCTGAAGGCCAATTTGCATCGAAGTTATTTTTCTGAGGCAGCCTATCTGTTTGGAGAAATTACTGCTAGAAATATTCAAGCACTGGACTTTCTTCTGGAGCTTGGTAGCGGCTTCATTTCTGTTGCGTTCATCTGCACCCCAGGAAGCAAAACGGGAGGGAGGAAGCCCAGGGTCCAGGCCGACGTGGTGCTGCAGCTCTCTGTCTCCCACTGTCATTTCACTCGGTACAAATGGCTGCATGAAGACAAGGAATGGTCTTCCTTAGGCTCAAGGGGAAACATATTTTGATGCATGCATGAATTCAGTCATCTGTACTTAGTTACTCAGTTTGCACATTTTTGATGTTTAAATCAGTTATGTCCCCAAAATACTGACGTTTCTGAAACTGCATTGGACTATGCTCTTTTCCTAGAGATTTATTGTTCCTTAGGTGACACATTATTATCATGACATGTTGGATCAGTCAGTGTTCCTACAGCAGTATATGAATGCTAAGTACTGTCGCTAGTCTTGCTGTCCTTTTACCCACAATACCATTTCCCCTGTCATTTATCTTAAAAAAAAATAGCAAAACCTATGCCACAGGGTAGCATAACCTCCTCACCTCTTCAACTGTTTAAACTGGTGACAAAGTGGGCTCTTTCAGTTTCCCTCAAAACAAACATACCTGCTTGTCATTCTCTTGACCAACATCAAGAGACCTTGCAATTTCTCATTGAACTTCTCCTATTAACAAAATTAAAGAGCAGAGAACAGATGCCAGGATGCTGTTCAACTCCCTCTTGCCCAAAAAAGGTCTCTGAAGGTCTGCAGCAAGTTGCAGATCCTACAACTTTCCCACCAGCAGTTCCACTTCTCAACCACCAGCTCGTGTCCCCCCTCCGTAGATCCCAAGCACACCCCAAAAGCATCCAATACATGCTTAACGCATGAGCTGCTGGAACTAACACAGTGGCAACGTCTCTTCGAGCAGCAGCAGATGTTGAAACAGCAGCTGCAGCAGCAGATACCATGTCAGCAACCTTCTGCCAGGGCTCGGAGCATGCTCGGTTTTCTACCTGAATACATGAAGCATAAATGAGTCGCAGAACAAGGTCAAGCAAGCTGAAACACCTCATTAAATTTCGTCGATGCCTGTATGACCAGGTACTTCAGACACTGTAACTGCTTCATGTCACTACTGTATTAAAGGAGGAAAGACACAGGAATATCACGCTGCCTAGAGCACGTAGGTGAATCTGAAATAGTAGGTTTTAATGAGAAAAAAAGTATTTCTGTACACACACATAAATAAAAGAAGGAAATTAAACTAATTCTGGGGAGCAGGCAAAATTACATCTTCACTGGCCACAGATGTGCTGGACTAGGGACTGTGTGGGAAGTTTGCACATACACAGCAGATACAGCATAATACATTCAATAAAAACACCTAACTTGACTATCTCGATTAGTTACATTTGGCACCAGTAAGGGGAGAAAACCAAACCTGGCAGAGAACTCAGTCCTACTACTATTTCTAGCCCTTGTTAATTCGGTTGTCTGGGTGCATAATTATCCTACACACACACAATTTGTGCTGTTAGGCGTACAAACAGTCAGTTATATAGCTCAGCTACTTAATAGTGTTATGTTCAAATTTGATATGCCCCTGAGATGGACATAGGTCACTTAACAATTCTGTAAATTTTAATCTCAGCCTAAAACACTGTTTCACTTCACAGCCAGCAAGAGAATAAAACTCACTAAATATTACAAACGCAATAAGATGTCATGAGGTGGGAAACTACAACCCATGACTGCACTGTCAAAACAGACATCATGTGGCGATACTTGTTATCATCTCCATATTAACCCAAGTTTTATCCAACTACTGGAACATCAAAATAGGATTCAAAATTTGCTGTTGATTCTTTGATTTTGCCATTTTCTGAGAAGAAATTTATTAAATAACCTGACTAGAGCTCATAAAAACTGAAAACATCCAACCTGATTTGTACTTTATTAGTGAGTTGGATCCTGTATTTCCTGGATCCTGGAAATCAATAGAGCATTATCATTAACTCCAATGAACGTAGCGATAGGCATATGGGCCAAACTCTAGAAGGCTGTACTCTCATTATTTTCTCAAACATGCACATCCCAATAAGGCAGCTGAGGAAAGTGGTTTTAGAAATCATGTTTGAGAGGAGTACTTTAGCACTTAAGTATTTCCAAGTAAGCAGAAATACTTATATGCATGTTTTCGAAAAGCCTAGAGATACTGATTTACAAGAACTTAGGCTCCTCAAGTTTCAGTTCTTCTCAACAGGAAAACTTCCAGTAATGTCATCCTGTATAGAAAATGCAATTTGTTACCTTAAAACATTCATAGGGTATTTTAAAGTGTGAATGAAAAAGCCCAAATCAAGACCACTGTGTGAAATATTGAACATCAGATCCTGGCACGCTTTTGCGTACCATGTACCCTAGAGTAGGTACAATAAAATAAATTTTCTACAGAAAGAAATACTTTAACACTTAAAGTATATTTATTCTAGTTCAGATGCCAGAAGAAAAAATGTGTCTGTTTGTTGTATTAAAAAGAATGAACTATGAAATTATAAAACATCATCTCATAACTATCTAGGCTCAAGTGAAATTCCCAGGCCAAATTAAACCTTCAGCTTTATTGTGAAGCTGCCTGAAAAGGAACTCTGCAGGTAATGCTTCAACTTGATTCAAGCAGTCAGCCGTGTGTTTCAGGTTACGAAATTATTTCTCTGCCATAACTTCTGTTGTTTTAGTGACTGCCAGGGGTGCTACGCTGCCAAGCCATACGCACGCGTGCCCCCGTCCCCGTCTCTGGTGTCTGCTTGCAGCAGGAGATCTGGCAGCAGGAGAGGCATGCCCAAAGGACAGAGAGGTGGTTAAGGGGAGACTGGGCTTGCAGGTACCGTGAGCCCTCAGCAGCTGACTTCTGAACGATGAGCGACGTCCTTGCCTACCTAATGGCAGAGGAAATTTCTTCATCCCTGAATGTAGCTGTCAGTATCCTGAGCAAAGGAAGAGGGTACACCAACCTGGGAATATGAGGGGACTCTGTACTGACAGAGAGAAGTAAGTGAGGAAGGTGAGTACCCAATATCCTGTCTCCAGTTGCCACCAGATGTTGATGCTCTGGAGGAAAGTGAATAATATACAATAATTAATCATAATCCCAGAAGTCAAATTAAGCACCAAGAAAAAATGCTCTTCCTGACCCAAGAGAAAACCAGCCAAGTTGTGAAGCATGACATTTTATTATAAACTTGTCCAAGGTAGCAACATGTGCTACAATACATGGAAGGCACTACAAATAATCTTGTTTTCTCAACCCAGGGAAGAACGTAGGTGAACAGAGAACAGTCCTTCCCCTTCTCACGCGCTGGAAATGTCCTCCACCGAACCAAGCCAAAGCACATCTTTGAGAAGGAAACCCCATCTCACTTTAAACACTCCCAGCAACAGCAAATCCATTACAATGCTTTATCGCCCTCGTTGCTACTTATTATTTCAAGGTACAACATACCTAACTTCAGCTCCCAGACACTGGATGTCTCAGTAGGGTCAGGTAAGTATCATGTATTTTCCTTACACATACGAACGATATATACAGGCATCATTTCCCCTCTCAGTCTCTTCTAAGCTGAATAAACTCTGTACACCCTGCATTGTGAAGCTTGGTTTCCAAACCCTGGATCACTTTTGTCACTGCGCTCTTAGTAATATTTCACATCCTTCCTCACGTGTGAGCAGCAAAACCAGACACAGAATTCCCGTGATCTTACTAATGCCATGTACTTTCCTATTTCTGTGCAATATTTATATTGCTATACAGCCAAAGACCACACTTCAGTCACAGCATTACAATGAAAACTCCTGTTGAGATGATTCTCCGCACAAATTCTTAAGCCTTCTTTCAAATTACCAGTTTGAAGACAGTCTCCTATCCTGCTGGTGTCACCGCATTCCTGGTCCCTTTGTATCTGGCTGCATGAAAAATGCCTTCTGCTAGACGCTAACCATTTAAAAAAGTGATGTGGAGTACGCCGTACTAGTAACTCATTCCACATGCACACAAAACTGCATGTAATCTGTTGGTAATGAGATATCATCACAAAAACTGCGAATATAATGGTATTAAACAGCCTTACACCAAGACCCAGCCCCCGGGGGACCCCACAAGAAACAGCTGCACTCTCATAGAAGAAAGGCACGCCTAAGTTCCTCTCTAAACTAAGAAAGATTTATGAAGCAACTTTGCCAATGTTTGTGGTATTTATTCCACAGTGACTCCATGGCACAATTGTTTTAAACTCACACTTCACTGCAGAGTTAATAGATATATCAGGGACACAATATAGGGTGAGTCTGCTACAACAGAACAGTTGATGAATAGTTTAGGAATTTGGGAGATGTGGTTTTTTACAACTCAAAACGCTGGGAAGCAATTTGCTCTAGTTCTACTGTAAATTGGTCTTTAAGAATTGTTAAGTCATTTTGAAAGATTCAGAACGAGTAAGCCCTGGCTTGTCATTTATTTCAGAGGCTCCATTTTGAAGTTTTCAATTTTTCAGCCAGGAAAACAACAATGAATAATGTGAGTAAGGAAAGGCATTCATACAATTAACCAAAGACTTTTAGGTTTGATTCTCTATTTAAAAGAATTCAGAAACAACTGGGTGCCAGTTAGCCAGCTGGGTAACCTATTAATTAATATTATGATTCGGCAGCATATTTCCATGTACATAAATATATACACAGTATTGATGAAGCTTGTAGCACCGCCTATTAGGCCATTGCTGAACCCTTCCAGTGCAAGAAGCTGCTTCCAGCTGCTTGTAACTTGGCCAGACTTTGACTGTTTGGGTTGAAATTTTCCAAGTTGAATGTCTGCCTCAGGCTAAATTTTGTTCCATGTGTTGTAGAGGTTGCCTCTGAAGGAGGGGTGCAGAAAGAGGTAGACTGTGATTAGAACTCAGCCAAAATACTTCAGCTGTTTTCAGAACAAGATCAGGGAAAATGCTGTCTTTCAATGTTAACAGAAATCTCTGGCAAACACGGAAGGTTATAGTGCCCTTCCAGCTCTTGGTGACAGATTTGAAATCTGACATGAGGGCTGGAGCGCTGTATCGGAGGTGTCCTTTGTGCTGCCCCCATGAAAAATCCACCTGCATTTGGTCAAACGTCCAAGATGAACTGCACTTTGTGCATTTTCAGTAGACATTTGCTAGGCCATGTCCACATTCTTCTCAACTCCTCATGCCAATCAGACGACATAGGCCATCCCCACAGCAATAAGCAACTTCTCCCCCAGCGCCCGTGCAGGGCAGGGCTGCAGCTCAAATAACCGTGCTCCAAGCCAGGGAACAGCAGCAGACTCCAGGCTTCCTATGTAGGGGCTGGTGGAGGCCATGACGGCACCAGGTACGTGGGACATGAGCAGGAGTCCTGCTTCTCCTTGCCCTTTCCCTGCTCCATCCTACGGGTCTTCGCAGCAACACAGACCACAGCCATGGCCTACCACCACCAGTTATCCTCAACAGAGAGTTCCAACAGCAGTGTCCCAGGCATTACATTAGGAATCCGGCCGACGAAGGATGGCAACACGAGTACGCTACCCTAGGCTGCCTATCTGCTTTTCGGCTCTTTTCCTAAGGGAAAGAAAACCTAGGAAATTACACACAAAAAGCAGTATTAAAAATGTGATTAACATGGCAGAATTTAGGAATTATTAGAACTAAGTGGCCTACGGTTATTAAAACCGTCTCCTAGTGCTTATATGCATGGAGGTCAATCTCTAATTGCAACTGACCTGGTCACATTTTTTTCCCCATAGAAGCTTTGCTATAATTAACACACAAATTCCTCTTTTTGCCCTTGTTCTCTAGAGCATCACTACACACTTTCAAACCACAGAGGGAATTATTTCTTTTCTCCTAGGTTCTTTTATGGTTCTCATCACTACTGTAATCCGTAAGATAAAGGGTACTGTTATCCATGTTCTTTTAAAGATGGGAAACTAAGATATGAAAAGATTAGAGCAAAAAGCTACGGACACTGAGCGAGCAATTCTGACACTCAAAACTTGTATTTCTAACATGCTTAGACCTACAAAACATCTTCTGTATGTCGAGAGCGAACAGCCATTGACTTTTGTCCCAGATGGACAAGCCCAGCATAACTGCACAGCAGATCCCAGGGACTCAGGCCAGGCACCCAGAAAAACCAACTCTCCATGTGCGAAAACCTTTACATTTACATGGAAATCCTACGGGAAAGGCAGGGGCTGCAAAATCCAATTCTCCAGCTGTCTCAGGCGTGAAACTGCCTCTCCCTCTGCATATAATCATCTACCTCATTCACGTCACCTCTTCTCACTGCTGCCCAGCCGGGGAGCTGCTCCGCCTTGACAGATGCACCTCTGGTTCATCACCCAAGCTGGCCAGGAAGGATGATGGCGGATCACGTCACAACAGACACCATCATCACACACAGGTCCAGCGCGGCCAGATGAGCCTGGCATTTTTACAACTCCTGAGCACTTTGCTTTGCAAACTTACCGATGGGGTAGGTCTGGGCGGGGCAGAGAGGTAGTAAATGTATAGAATACAGAGTATATAGAATGTATATATAGTATATATACATTCACTGGGTGGCAGGCATGTTTTGCGGGATCCAGATACATGCACATACAGACAAAACCTCTTAAATACTGTGCTTGTTCCCTGTCTCAGAAGCAGCAATTGAACAGACACGGTAAAAAAAAAAAAAAAAAATCCCACAGAGCAAAGTTAACATATCCTGCCTTCATTTTAACACCAGCTTCTTGTCCGCAGCACTGAGGCATTCAAACCGTCCTGGCACTCGACGGTCTGAGCTGTGCGGATACGCGGTGCCCCACGTCACTTCTGTAGGTGGGTGCCCCAACGCGAGGCAGCACGGACTGTGCAAGAGTCTCCAGAGAGTCTCTGCTGCACTAATTAATGCGTGAAGAGCAATGCCTGCAGAGGCCAAGCCTTTGAACTCTTCCCCAATGTAACAAACTTGGGCGGGGTGGGGGGCGGTTTGGACTAACAGCTGTAAATGCGTCCATGTGCGTAAGCAGCTAAGTTTTAAAGTTCAGAGGAACATAAAAAGCCAGTATTTTTCATGGATTTCTACTTAGCATCTAAGCAATTTCAAAATTCGCTTAAAAGATGTTTCTGGAGAAGAGGCCATCGACCAAGTTTCAACCCAGTGCATATTTTTATAACCAAGCTGTAAACTACATAAAAACTACACTTATAATGGAAATGCTGACAAATGCATAACTACTGCAGTTAGCTATGACAGTCTGACCACAAGTCCTCCTTCAGGAAAAAGCAACATTTACTACCCCCCTCCTTTTTAAGGCTGCTCGATAGCAAGCTGGGGCAGGGTGGGGGGGTGCGGTATGTACGGGTACCTGTATCTTATCCTTTTATTATGAATTTAAGCAACTCTTGTTCCACTTATTTCCCACGTGTTGAATGAGGCACCCCGTTTTCGCCATAAACAACCAGAGGGCCTCCTAAATCCATGACTCACTCCGCAGGCTTCTCCTCCACCCTTGTGCGCGACTATAGCAAAAAGGTTGCCAGCTGTAGTCGGTGAATTAACATTATTTTTTCGCGGGCACCGTCGGGAAATAAGTCACACTGCGCTGGCAGGGGGTAGGAATACAAACCCGGTATGACTTTTATTCGGTGGCGGGGAGAAGCAGCTGAGGAGGGGCTTCTCCGGTTCATCAGCCCCGGCCACCCGGAGGCACGGGAGGGCCAAACACCCCCGCGCGGCAGCGCGGCCCGTCCGGGCCCGACGTGTCGGGGTCGCCCGTGTTGCGACCGTGTCGTGTCCCCC